CTTCGCCAGCACCATAATTCAAAGGCATCAATTCTTCTTCAGGCTTCCTTATTCATTGTCCAGCTTTCACATGCATATGAGGCGATTGAAAACACCATGGCTTGGGTCAGGCGCACCTTAGTCCTTAAAGTGACATCTTTGCTTTTTAACACTTTAAAGAGGTCTTTTGCAGCAGATTTCCCCAGTGCAATGTGTCTTTTGATTTCTTGACTGCCGCTTCCGTGGGTGTTGATTGTGGATCTAAGTAAAATGAAATCCTTGACAACTTCAATCTTTTCTCCGTTTATCATGATGTTGCTTATTTGGTCCAGGTGTGAGGATTTTTGTTTTCTTTATGTTGAGGTGTAATCCATACTGAAGGCTGTGGTCTTTGATTTTGATCAATAAGTGCTTCAAGTCCTCTTCACTTTCAGCAAGCAAAGTTGTGTCATCTGCATATCACAGGTTGTTAATGACTCTTCCTCCAATCCTGATGCCGCGTTGTCCTTCATATAGTCCAGCTTCTCTGATTATTTGCTGAGCATAGATTGAATAAGTATGGTGAAAGGATACAACCCTGACTCATACGTTTCCTGACTTTAAACCACGCTGTATGCTCTCGTTCTGTTCGAACAACTGCCTCTTTGTCTATGGACAGGCTCCACATGAGCACAATTCAGTGTTCTGGAATTCCCATTCTTTGCAATGTTATCCATAATTTGTTGTGATCCACACAGTTGAATGCCTTTGCGTAGTCAATAAAACACAGACAAACATCTTTCCGGTATTCTCTGCTTTCAGCCAGGATCCATCTGACATCAGCAGTGATATCCCTTGTTCCACATCCTCTTCTGAATTTGGCTTGAATTTCTGGCAGTTCCCTGTCCATGTACTGCTGCAACCGTTTTTGAATGATCTTCAGCAAAATTTTACTTGTGTGTGATATTAATGATACTGTTTGATAATTTCCACATTCTGTTGGATCACCTTTCGTTGGAATGGATACAAATATGAATCTCTTCCAGTTGGTTGGCCAGGTAGCTGTCTTCCAAATTTCTTGCCATAGATGAGTGAGCGCTTCCAGCACTGCATCCGTTTGTTTAGACCCTGAGCATGTCTTAAGGGGAGGATCCCAACAAGGAGAAGGGCATATGTGCATGCTCCAGTCTGGGGCTGGAGCCTACTAAATGAAGATTCAAGACCAGGCAAGAGGATGTGCTTTGGGTTTTAGCCACTATCTAGATCTACATAGATTGACAAGTGTAGGGGGTTGGGGTTAGTCTCTGGGGACTGGGTCTTTGGTTCTTTACTTTTTTCTAGTTTCTCTAACATTCTTTGTCTCTCATGGTTCCTGGCTGCCTCCCTTCAGAATCCATCTCTGTCTCTGAAAAGCATCTCTGCCTTACTCCTTCTCTTTGTTGGCCTCTCGTCTATTACATGTTGTTGTTCCAACTCATAGTGACCCCATGTGACAGAGTAGAACTGCCCCAGAGGGTTTTCTAGGCCGTAATCTTTACAGAAGGAGCCCTAGTGGCACAGTGGTTAGTAGCTCGGCTGCTAACCAAAAGGTGTGTGGTTTGAACCCACCAGCCGCTCCAAGGGAGGAAGATGTGGCAGTCTGCTTGCATAAAGATGTACAGCCTTGGAAACCCTATGGGGTTTTAGTTGGAAAAGGACTCAACGGCAAAGGTGGTTTTTTTTTGTTTTTGGGGGGGGGTAATCTCTTTGGGAGCAGATCACCAGGTCTTTCTCTCATGAAGCCGCTAGGTGGATTCTAACTGCCAACTTTTCAGTTAGCATCTGAGTGCTTAACCATTGTGCCACCAGGACATTCTCTTTCCTTCAGCCATTCCTTCAACAGTTACTGAGCATCTGCTTTGTGCCACATCCAAGCTGTGTGGCCATGGCCAATTGCTTAACCCCTGTTTTCTTGTTTCCAAAATGGGAATATTAATGGTACGCTGCTCATGGACTTGTTAGGACAATTATGGAGGTTAGTAGTCCAACACAGGTTTCACTGGGATAAAATCAAAGTGTCAGCAGGGCTATGTTCCTTCTAGAGGCTCTAGAGGAGAATCTGTTCCCTTGACTTTCCAGCTTCTAGATTCCACCTGCATTCCTTGGTTCATGGCCCCCTTCCTCCATTTTCAAAACCAGCAATGGCGAGTAGAGTCCTTCTCGTGTCACATGACTCTGACCTTGCTTCCATCCTCACATCTCCGATTCTGACTCTTCTGCCTCCCTCTTCCACTTTATGAACTCCTGTGATTACATTTAAGATCCCTGGGTG